AAAGAGCCCTGTGAGTCGTCCGTTCTCAGGATCATAGATCTTGAAATTGGCGCTGTTGACTTTAGGGTCCTCGGAGTCTTATATAGGGCTCCATGATTTTGGACAGGGACTTCGGATTGAGACCACCAGGTCCTTCAGACTTGGGCTTCCGAGCCGTCGCTTCGACAGGCTTTCTCGAGTTTTTCGAAAATCTTCCCGTTACTTGTTCACAGTATCTAACAGTATCTATCTATCTACCTACCAATCGGTCTCTCTGTCCAGCTATCTACCACCTCTATCTACCTGTTTATCTATCCATTTGTCTGTCTGTCTGTTCATCTGTTATTTATTTAGCTGTCTGTCTACATATCTACCTATCCATCTATCTATCAATCTGCCTGTATCAGTCTCTCTCTCTCTCTCTGTGTCTGTCTTTCTTTCTTTCTTTCTTTCTTTCCGTGCATTGTAGGTCGGCACTGCGTCAGCATCTAAACAGCGACCAGCCTATGCGAGCTTGTGTGCAGTGCATGTAGAGCAGCGTTTGACACAGCGCGTGTGACGGCAGAGGTCCTTTTTCCATGATTGCTATCACGAACTATGGTGAAGCGGCATTTGCGTGGCCCAGACTTCCTGCATGATCCGTTGCTTTCATTTCGGCTCATGTGGGGTCCTCAGGGGGATGTATATTTGCACATGTAGCCAGGGGCTCAGCATCTCTTGCTGAGATTTGTCAGGCGGCTTGTATGCGGTTGTGTATGGAAGCATGTTGAAGCTTCTTCCGTTGCAGGACGCTTGCCGAGCATAGGGGCCCCTGCACTGCTGAGACGATCTCCGAATCGAGAGGCTGGATCGGGAGGCATGCTCTGCCTTTGCGTGAACTTTGGGTTGACTCGACAATCCTCGCAGAAAGTTTATAAACATCGAGAAATATATCTCAGACCCCGAGAACCCCTTACAAGTGCTTGGAATTCGAAAGAGCCGCATGCTTTTGGAAACAGAGCTTTTTCTGATTCACTCTTGCGCCCCAGCTTGGGCTTGCAAGTAGTGTTTCTCGGATGGGGTTCTCGATGTACACTGCTTCCTGCAAGCTGGTGAGAAATTCAGCCATATCTCTTTCTAGTCCTTGTTTGTGCAAAACGTGCAGCCAGGTCAAGCAGTCAGGTGGAACTTCCGCACAATGCGGTTGAGTGGCGGAACTCCCATGTTTGTAGCTTCATCGGCATGCTGTGTAAGGTGCTGTCTAGAGTCTAGAAGTTGCGCTCCAGGCTCCGGGAGTGCAGCTCCGACACTTCTATGTCTTCTAGCGGAGAGCTCACTTGCCCCGTAAAACTTGGCTTCAAAGCTGGAAGCCTGCAACGAAATATCTCAGGTTTTTGGATCCAGCCCTTCAAGGGTAAGAGCACAGATGCTGGGAGGGTACCTTTGCTTCGATATCAACTACTGGAAGAGTCTCCTACTCTCTGCTTCTATGTGTGCAAGTCCAACAGCGTTTCAGGTTTCCCACGCTGCCGTCAGCTCCGGCAGCTGGTTCAGCGAATCCGTTTGCAGCTCAGGAGCAGCTAGAGAAAGCCGCATCAGAGCAGAATGAGGGGATGCACATTGCAGCAGGTCAGCATGCTTGCATCGGGTGGGCAAGGTTTAAAAACAAGGACAAGACGGTGCTTGGAACTGTTCCAGATTGGCTGTGACTGCCTTAGATAATCATCATGATTCTTTCTTTCTGTGCCGGGGTGCTATTCTGTCTTCCAAGGGCGGATGCCATGATGATCCAGGACGTCGAAATGTCACAGTTGTCAGACACTGTCTGGTATGTTGTGACCGCAGGTGCCCACAACTGCTGGACCAACACCTGCGCCTGTGCCGAATCCTTTGAGCGCATCGGTGACCGCACCATCAAAGCCTCAGCCAGCACCCGCACCGCCCCAGGCGACGACGCCAACAGCAGGATCAGCACCAGCACCAGCAGCCCCAGCAGAAGCCCCGGCAGCATCCCCGGCAGCCCCAGCAACCCCTGCGACGGCGCCAGCACCCGCACCTGTGGCGTCAGCACCAGCAGCACCTGCGCCTGCCACGTCAGCAGTGGTGCCAGAAGCAGAGTCGCCGATGCAATCCGAGCTCGCACAGTCTGCGCCAGCGCCCATAGCTGCGCCCATGCAGGGTGACACGACGGCTCCGGTGGGGCCGAGGGCTGTGCAACTTTCGTCCATGTTTGTGTGGCAAGTTTTGCAGCGGCACGGCTTGCAGCGTCTGTAGCGCTTCAGCCCGAAGCTGGCGTCCGGCAGGGTCTGGACCTGAAGCAGCTTGGCCAATTCGCCCTGTGCGAGAAGCCAGAAGAACACACCGGCCGACGACTGCTCTTCGCTCAGCTTCGCTTCAGCGCTTTATCGGAGGGCTCAGAGGCGCTCAGCCCATTACGCCTTTAAGGCTCAGCTTCGAGGACCTGCAGGGGTACTCGCCGATCAAAGTCGTCCAGCAGCTGCTGGCTCCCCCAGCTCTTTCGGCTTCCCCAATCGAAGCCGTTCGTTGTTGCCAGGTCTGCCTTATCATCGTGATCTTGCTGGTGTGCCTGTGTATCCACAGGACAGGGACTTCAGAACTCCTTCAAGCCTTTTCATGTAGCTCCTGAGTAAAGGAAGTCGGTCCTCATTATTTTGACGGGGGATGACTCGTCCTGCCGGCGAGTCCGATTTCGGCTTCGGCGCCCATCACTCGAGTGCTGGGTAGCGTTGGGTGTGGGGATGATCAAACGGAGCCAGGCTGCATGCCACGCTTCCCGACTGCTGTTGGTACGGTGTGCCCACCGCTCAGCGACGTTGACGTACATTCCAGGTACATCCCTTGCTCAGCTTGCTTTTCGTAATCGTTACCCGCTGACCGGGTAAGGTGGCAGTGCTGTGGCCTTTGCAAGTATGATTGGGTGACAATGTGTACTTCGTGGCGGGGCTCTCATACACATGTAAGCATCTTAAGCCGTGCACAGGCTGTTGCGTTGGCAAGACCTTGGCGTGTCATGCGCCGGATGCTTCCCAGGCCCTGCTGCGGGAAGTGGCGTGGCTCCAATCCTGTTCGGGCGATGCTGGCTTGTGTTGGATTGCTGAGATCCTTTGTCTTACTTGTTCTGTCGCCAGACCATGGGACAATGGGTGGGGGTGACGCCGGGTCCTTTTCTTCGTTTCGCGTAGGACCCATGAAATCGGAAGCTCTCAGGTCTATGTCCGTCGAGCTGAGTAACATCGTGGTTGGAGATATTCCTTTCTACAGGCTCTGCGGGAGAGAGTGTAACCGTTTGCTGGGTCCAGCCCGACCAGCTCTTGGCTGCTGCTTTCTAGTCAGATAGGTATGGTGCCTTTTCCGTGACTGTCGAATGTGGCAAGTATCCGTGTCCTGCCCAGCTTGCTCCTTGCATATGCATGAGGCTGACTTAATTTCTGCCTGTGTGCAAATCACCTGAGGCCTTTGCAAACGTCTGTGCAGGAGGACCTGTGGATGGCTTCGCATGGCATCGCTCGGGAATGGGAAGCGCCTTCACGATACGTTGCCAAATGTGGTGCAATCTTACCAGGACCAAGATCCCAAAACGATTCACTTTCCGGAGGCTCGTTAACCGGTGCTCGCATTCTAGCTGGGCCAGTCAACAAAAGCTGCCGTGCACTCGTGGAAAGAGACGGCGGCTTGCAAAACTGGATAGTCGCCTTTTGCTACAGTCTAGAGGCGAGCATCTGCCACGCCCGCGTTTATCGTGGGCAAAGACTTTGGACCCCTATCACAACGATGCAGGAAATTTAGGTGTTGTATTGTGACAGTTTTCGTGGGACAGACATTGCATTGACATGCTCAGAGTTGTCACCAGGTCTTGACCTTGCGCCTCCGCGATACAATGTGGGACTCGCCAGCCAGCGCCCTTGCTTTGATCTGTCTCAGTGGAGGCTGCGTCGTTTGCTGATCGAAGTGCGACAGGCATCAGAGCCGTGCTGTCATCGTGAGGTTGCCTGTTGGATTGAAATGCAGATGTGGCTACCTGTAGCCGTCTCCGAATGTAGGGAGTGAGTTGCAACCTGGCCGTTCGGGGGAGTGCTTTCCGTCTCGTTTTTCATGTGATTTAAGCATGATGTAGCAATCACGGTGGTCCCTCGGCAAGAATATTGCTCGGAGTAGTTTGTTGTTTGCTTAGCATGGGTTCTCTATGCTCTCTGTTTTTCACTGCAGTGGTCTCACGCAAATAAGTGGATGTTGGGGCGGGATTCTGGAAGTTGTATAGCAGGGGCCAAAGACCGTAGGGGTCCTCCCCGTCCTTCCACTCATTTACGACTACCTGGTATTGTTCCATGGCTGCACGGGTGTCATACTTGGGTTTCTGAACTAGTGTCGAAGTCTATTCGATTCTATTGGTGGTGCATTAGTAGAGTTCACGCAGACCGCAATGTGTTCACTCATTGACGACTCCACCGGTAAAAGGAAGTGGCCTGCCACACCCCGCCCCCAGACCAAGTTACGGCCCCGTGGGTAGACTAACATGTTCTAGCACGCTAGGGAAGAGACCGTTCTGGACCTTGTCCCCTGGATACGTTCTGTCTAAGCCTCGAGGAGGGAAAAAGGAATCTGTCCGGCACCGTGCCCCAGCATTCCTCAGATCCGGAAATAGGTGGCCAATCTATTCCATACCCCCCCCCCCAACATCTCCCCCCCCTCGTACTCATGTTGCAAGAATCCATCGGGGAGATTGACAAAGACGTGTTTGATGTGCAAGATGGCTGGAGTTTGTCCGTTCCAGGTATAGAAAGGTATAGAAGGCTGTGCCAGTGCTTGCAAGTGAGGTCGTGATAACCGTCAATCAAATCAACTTCGTCGGCATCCACAAAGTTGCAGAGGTTCCTTACGAAAGAGCTCGAGGGTGCAGAGTGTCACGATCTGGTCCGGAGCACGGCCATGTCGTCCCTTGCAGGTTCGTCTCAGCCCAACGACCGTGGCGAAGTGGGCTCACCAGGCTGCTTGGCTGTCGCAAGGGCAAGGAAAAGAGCTCCTGCATACAAGCCTGCGCAGCAACGGGGCATAACATGTTTGCGTCCTTTCCGAGGGTGATTCGTTCAACACGAAGCGTTTGGCATTGACCCTGCATGACCGCAACTTGGAGGCTGGCTGAACCGCCATAAGATTTGGTCCTGATCTCGCTCGCATGCCAGGCGGAGACACCCCCGTGGCAGCATGCTCAGATAGGACCTAGGACCTGGGACAGAGGATCGAGCTTTGCTGCTGTGATCAAGCGCCATATTGACGAGGGTGAGCATAACTTTCGGCACTCCGACGGCGGACTTGCGCCACCTGGACCACTTTCATGCGAACTCGAGTCTCTCAGCCCGATGCTCGGATCGTTCTGAGCACGGCGCGGCTGTTTAGAAGCTCGCAATGAGGTGCGACTTGCCACGTGGGGTGCGCTTGCCTGTTGCGTGCAGTGTACTCGACATCTCGACAAGACTTCTTGTGACGAGAACATACAAGATTGCTTGGGTCTGCTTGCCAGACAACGTTCCGGACCCGACCACTGGGGAGTTCTTCGCCGAGCACCCTCTGGCTCGCCTGCTTCCGTATGTAGCAGCTGTGGTAAGGCTCCTTCATGTTGCATGTGGTGCTGCGACGAAGAACCCTTTCTAGGTGAAGTAAAAGACACCGTCCGGCATTTGTCAAGGGGCTATTCTCCCCAGATGTGCTATTGCACCGCCCTTTCATCTGGCAGACCAGAATGAAGCAAGACTATCATCTGGTGGACGGCGCTGGGAATGTGGTCCAGGCCCGTCGAGATTTAGTCTCTAATTAGTGTGCTCCTCTTGTCTTCCAGCAGGCACTGTTGTGAATGGGGTGCGTAAGAAAGCTTGTCAAGTCCATTTGAGCCCTTCAGAGCAGTGATGATTCGACGATCTTTCGCTTTCAGGGTTCAGGCGTGAAGGAAGACAAGCTTGCAAAGTCGCATGTGGCAGGAACCCGACGAAGCTGACCTGTACTGGCTAAGCAGTTGCAGGACGGCCTTCACGGGATTCTCCTTCCGTAGTCGTTGCTCCGCAGCTCTACTGATTATGCTGCCATCCTATTTCAGTTTTAAGTCTCCTTCATCTTCTTCAGTTCTAAGTTCTATGCCTTGATCAAGCTATTTCCTCTGGAGGGGTGTGCAGAGAAGATGCAAGCTGCGGAGTTGTGGCTGTAGACTCCCAGTCTTGAGGTTTGGCTGGCAATTGGATAATACCTGTGGAGACCGCCAAGATCCCACCGAGATCGCTCAAGCTTCTTGGGACTGCAACGCCCGGGTACACCGTGTTGAACTGTGCCAGGAGCTTGCTCTTCGCGATTTACTCAATTCTCAGTGCCTTGACAGCAATTTCTGCAGTTTCATCAGCTCAACACTGACCAGAGCTCCAGGACGTAGGGGGCAGGACGTAGGGGGAAACGCGCCTGATCCCTCTACTTCAACTGTCGCGTACGTTTTGTACTCTCCCGGAACACGAAACAAGAATGGGTTACTCATTGCAGCTTTGGAGCAGCTTTGGATGCTGGTAGAAATACGTTCGAGCAAGAGTGCCGAGGCTTTGTGGTACTCGGCGGTGTCGTGTGCTACGGCGCTTTCAGATACTACGATCGGAGCTCAAAGTGCACAGAGGAACAAATCTACTCTGGACGGCGATCCTACCCCGCAGAAGGTCAAGAATTGCTACGAGAAGTTTGAACTGCTCACCATTGCGAAAAGGCGAGATTGCAAGTAGGTCCGCAGCATCGAGTGCGCAGTTCTGTTTCGCCTGTTGGTCTAAGTATGAGAACTGGTCGGTTTCTGCAAAACTCCGTGCAGACAGCTGCAGTCATGTTAGACTGCAAACCCGGTCGGCCAGTTGGCAGCCGCACGCGTTTCCAATGCCTGCTTGTGTGGGCATCTCAGCCTCGGATAAAGCGGGCCAACGCTGCCACAGACATGGGGGATGAGTGAGACGGTGTGGGATGTTTGGTGGAGGCCTTGCAGTCGATTAGCCACACTTGCGAGGCCTGGTTTTTCCTGTAAAGCGTGGTATCCGCTCTTTTTCGTTTTGTCTTACTTACAGGTGAGGACGAAGGGCACTGGTCTCGATCGGGGCTCTGACATCTGTCTGCCAAGGGCTCACTTGCTGGACAAAGTCATTCAGAGAAGAAAATGCTTGCGTTCTCGCACCGAGGCCCCTCGATCAAGAGGTGGAACTTACATGTGCCAACCTCAGTTTTGCAGCGAGGCATAGCACAGGTTGCACACTTTGTGCAAGGTGATAGTCCGCCGCAAGATCGGCCGACAGCATTTTCTTTCATCTTGGAAGGCTGGGTGCTCAGAGCTCAACCATATCAGGTCTTCCTTAGGGTCTTTCCGAAGTCGGAGAGCACTTTAAGGCTCACAGGGACGGTTTTGCAGGGGCTGCTTGTAGCCAATAGGGATAAAAGTCAGTCATTGGTGCAGGCAAAGCATGGCTTGCAGTCACGTTGCACTGAGACTTGGGGTTTGCCTCCAACAAGGGTGTGAAGCCTCGTGCTCAGATGCCGCAAACTTTGTAGTCATGTGGAAGCGTCATTCCCTGGCTCACAATTTCTTAACACTGCTGTGGGCTCTTCGATGCTTTCAGTCGTGAGTTCAGGTGCTTCGACGGATTGTGCCAACTGCGGAATAGGATAGTCAGATTTGACCATGTCGTCTTCTTTGGGCCGTGCTGGCTGGTTAAGCGACTTCCTCATTAGAGCACAGAAATAAATTTGATCTGACGACCCGAATCCGAGTGCACCTCTGTCTTGCCAGGTCTTTGTTCCTGCTTTTCTTCATCTTCTGCTTGTTCAGGTCGTGCGTTTTGAGCCGCACATATGTGCCGTGATGAGATTCGCACAAGCGTCCTGTGCAAAGGCCTCTGGCCAACTCTTGCTTAGACGGTGCACGAGTTCGCGCACAGCAGCGGAGCAACAGCCGGCCACTGTGCAAGTGACAGCCCCAGCTGCTTCGGTGCTGCCAACGAGCCGAGGCAGATATCGTCGGAAAGGACCTGCTGAATGAGGGCTATGCAGATCGCTGGAGCTAGATCGGGAACAAATAAAACAAACACGCGATGTTTGTATGGCACATCGTTTCCCACGCAAACACCGAAGCTTCAAGCACAAGATAGTATCTAGGTAGGGGTCAAGGGCCGAGTTTTCCCTGTGGCACTCTCAGAATTGAGAGTGCAACAGTAACGTCAGCCAGGCTGACAGTAGTGCGCGCATGTGTGGAGTGGAGGAAGGCAGGAAGGCCTACTTAAGATACGGCCACCACATGTGGAAACCATGTGTAACGACTGCCTCTCCCGCATTCATGCAGGCGGCGCCGCTTAAAACTGCACGTGTCATGTCGCGCATCGGCCTGAGATGACGTGCACCACCAAAGCGTGGCCAGTAATCTGGGAAATTCGAAGGCTCCGCAAGGACGCGAGACACTTGCATGAAGCAAAAAGTGTGCCCGGAATTCAGAGTGGCGTCTGGTTTAGTGTCAGACTTCGGAATTCATCGAAACGAGGTGCGCCCTTCCTTCCCTCTCTTCCCTCCCTATCCGCTTTTCACTCTTCGCTGTTCTGCCGCTCTCTATGACCCTCTCAAAGTCGAGTCTGATGCTCAAGTTTCCAGATGTCTCAAATGACCCTAACCAACAAGATCCACTTGTCAAACAATTTCCGACCGTTGGGAAGGGAGGAAGAGGCAGGCACAGGGAGGAAGAGGGAGGAGGAGGGACGGAGGGAAGGAATGAACGATAGAAAGGTCGAAACTGCCTGCCAGCTGGTGTGGTTGAGGTGCAGTTTCGGAGTGTAGCATTGTTGAAACGTGAGATAAGAGCAAGCCTACAAACGCTTGTTGGAACAGCCTCAGATGCGTTGCATCTTCCGTCAGTAAGGGGTCAGAGACTGACAGTCATCGACGCCACCAGCGCCACATCCGACATCTATTGATCTATTGTGCGGGTGGTAGTAAGAGATGACTACGAAAACAGGATGCATCAAGATGAATCAAGTCGAGATCTTGCGGCGTTCTTGCATAGGGATGTGAGATGTTGCATCGCCATGGCGTGCATGGCGGCTCGATCAAGGCAAGCCTCTGTGACGATCACGGCTCAAGTCAAGGACAGAATGTGCGTGTAGGCACTGCACTGCACTCAACCATCCGTGGAGGCCCAGCGCGAGGCACTGAGGAAGGCTCTGGCACAGTGCTTGGAGCAGTCTCAGCTGGGAGCCCCAATGGCGAAGCCACAGCCTTTGCGGCAGAACCTTCCCGTCGCTGCTTAGCCGCTGCCAAGGAAAGCTCAGCAAGACATGGCAGCTGCAGTCGAGGAGGTGCGGCCGAAACCAAAGAAGCCCAAGGGGCCAAAGCTAAAGCCCTGTGTCCTTCTTTCCTTCCTCTGCAGGAGATGCAGGCAGAAAGGAAGCTGGAGCAAAGCACCGAGGCGTCAGTTTTCCTTTTTGAGCTAGAGTTTTGAGGAGACTCACTTGAGGAATTCCGCACGCGCCTGGCTCGTCTGTCCTCCCAACCTCCCTCGCTCGAGACAAAGGCCAGGCCTCTGCAAAAAAGTTGGAGATCGAGTCAGTGTCTGCGGGGCAGTTTGCTTTTGAGGCCTTGCTGGAAAATCTCAGTGCAGCCAAAGCTCAGCTTGCCGAGGCTCACGCCCTGTCTCCGGGGCAGCCTTAAGACATCAAATGCCGACGACTGGCAGGATGAAAGGCACTTGTCGATGGGGCTCTTCGAGCGCTGGCGAGAGACCGGACACCAAGCCTGTCAATGTGCTCCTCTAACCTATGTCTCTCCGTGTCTCTACGTGCTTTGTTCTGCTCTGTGCTTTGTCTGCACAAGGCGACTGGACCAGGAACTGCATGCTGGCGGATACGTTCGACCCTCATCAGCCTTCTCAGGTCTTAGCATTCTTGGTACGACTCGTAGGGATACTTGTGACACGGAGAGTCTGCTACAACCCCCAAACTTTGGTTCGTCTGAATCCTGACTGGAAACATCGACATGTTTAAGTTTCGAGCGTAGATCGAAGGTCTTACCCACAACCGATCGATGGATGTTTGATCATGTCAGGGTTGTGCCTGTTTGAATCTATCTGCTCTGGAAGAGGTTGAGCAGAAGAATTCCATCGGCAAGATTGGAAGAGAGCAGGCATCTGCAAGATTATGAACGACATTCCAGTGAAGAGTTTCAGGTTAGGGGGGCCCGGCCCAGAAGTACAGGAAGTCAATGTGTGGAAAGCAAAGCTCAATAAGCCACAACAGGCCGGAAGTGTTGTGCAGGGCTTCGTGACTGCTGACGAACTGGCGGATGCCTGCGCGGCATCATCAGAAATGGCTCTGCAGAAGTCCGCCTGCGCGGAGAGATTGGCCGAGGCGCCGAACACTGCCTGTTGGAATTAGTGCCGTTGGGTCTCACAAGGTACAACGCCGGCTCCTTCAGTTTCGTAGCGAGCTGCGAGCGGAAGAAGCCGAGACGAATGCTCTCAGCTCAGTTCTGTGAGGCGGTGTATTTGATGTGTGCAGTTGCTGTAGGCTGTTGATGCTGGTAGCACACGAGTAGTGGTCGGAGCAGTGAGAGCTGTGGCAAGCGGCAAGCGTTTTGTCTGAAAGGCCTTGTGCTTCCAGCTTGCAGAGGAGAGAAGGTTCGGAAACTCAGACTTCAAGTGCTCTGGCTTCGGCTCGACTGGGTTTCGCCAATGCCAGGCGATCCAACGAATGGTGGGAGTGGCACATGGCGAGGTGACTGACGGCTGTTCAATTCCTTGACTTTCGTGCATCCCCAGTCGCCAACCGCAACAGAAGCTGGTTAGGCTTCCTGAGTACCACAAAGATCTTGAGAGTCTGAGGCAGACGGAGGCACGGGAATGCTTTTTTACACTCCAACACTGCACTAGATGATGACAGCAACCGTGGAAGGCTTTTGCCAAGACCATGCAGATGAACAAGCAGGCAGCAGTCAACATCCTGAGTCGCGCATGTCTTTAGAGACTGCCAATCGCTCTCGAAAGGCGTGTATACAAAGGCTTCGAAGTCAGCGCAGTGATGAGGCACTCGTGCGGTTTCTTGCGGTTGAGACGACTGCCAGCAAACTGTCCTTGGAGGAGTTGGCTGGAGAAGAGTTGCGAGTCGCCAGGCAGGTGCGGGCGTTTTGCTGGCCTGCTAGCCTTGGTACAAGACACATGCTCCTGCAGCATCCTGAAAAGGAGCTGTCGTTCAAGAACCGCGTCAGTATAGACTTCAGCATTAAGTGTCAGGCAATGGCCACCGAGCAGTTGTTTTGACGACAGGCAAGAATTCGAGCAGAGCGAGGGAGAGGTAGAGCACATCTTCTGCCTTCTGCAGGAGATTTCGCATCTGCGTGAAAGTGGTTTCAGATCTCCGTGCACAGAGTCTGTGACCGCGAGGAGTCAGAGGCTCAGCAGCAGCAGCTGGCGCGGCAAGCCATACTGGAGCCGCACAAAGTGGCTTGGCTCATGGCAGTCGCACCAAGTACTGAACATCAAGGATATTGCATGACGTTGCAGTTCAGACCTCAAGTTGACCCGAAGCTCAAAGGTTATCACAGGGGGCTGAGTGGGCAGAACGGAAAACCAGAAGTTATTCATCGACATGCAGCTGCGTACAGTCCGCGAAATGCGAAACCACCACAGTCAACCGCTGAAGCTGAAGTAGTACTCACGTTTGCTTGTGGAGATGGGCAGACGCAGGGCGGAAGCATGTATGGAAGGCATCGCGGAACAGGGGTTCAGTAGGTCGGGTCCAGAAAAAGCCTGTAGTGAATGGAGTAAACCGAGAGGCTTCCCTACAAGTGACATTTTTGGCAGCGGATATCGCCAGTGTGGTTTGCATGGTTCTTGATTCGACAGCTCACAACACGAACTACACTAAGGTGAACCGAATTCATCAAGTTCAGCACAGCGCAGAGCGACTGCGCGAGGCATCGTCATGCAACGCAGCTTGGGATAGCCTGTGCGGTAGATGGTGGAGAGAGGCGCATGACTTGAGAAGCCAGCTGGAGCTTGCCAGCGAAGAGGCCGTGGCCAACCTCATCTTGTCAATGGACGCACTGTGCTGCGATAACGAGGCTCGCAAGACAGAAGCCAATGCCAAAATGGCCCGAGCAGGCCTGCATGCAAGGCCACAGATTTGCTAGCCCGGTGCCGATGAAGCTGTTGCGGTGAATCTGCTGAGTTGCTTCCAGGTGTGCCCGCGCATCAGAAGAGCTCCGGGATGCAGAGAGGCAGATTTCGAAAGGATCAACACGTTGACATCCTTTTTCGATATCCTGCAAGCACGAAAGGCATCTGCAGTTCCTCAGAGAGCTTCATGCCCGCGAGTTCAGTGCCTTGGGCCGTGTACCCAGTACAGCCAATGTTGAACAAGCTGGGCTGGATACTGTTTTCCTCCGACGCCAGCCGACCTGGACAGGTGATTTCGAGCGTGAGAAGTTGCAATTGCTGCAGATTTATCGACAGGACTGCAGTAAACTGCAGTGCACTGCGGCTTGCACGGACGGCTGAAGCGGACGGAAGACTCGAACTGTCCCTGGTAGGAGGCTGTCGAGCACGAGCGGTGCTGGCCTCGGGTGCCTTCAGTCGCTTCTTGCGGAGAAGCATGGAGAAGCTCCCGAGCGCTTGTTGGGTGCCTTCGCGAGGACAAAGTGCCGGCTGCAATCCCAAAGCGGACACTTATGCCAAGGCTTTTGACTCAGTCGCTGAGACACTGGAACTGGGACCATGCACATCCACTGCTTGTTGTGGAATTCCTAGGCTTGCGTTTATGCCCGCGTTCGTCTGACATTCCGAAACCACTCACAGGTCGATGTTGTTGATGGTTCGATGGCGAACATGATGCAGTACATCCCAAAATATCCCCAAGACAGGCATGCGGTGTTCGCGTCCAGGGGCACCGCTCCTGCAAAAATGAGTTGGCGGCTGTGGGCGAGGAAGGGCTGAGACATGACCTGAAAGCCATTAGCGAGTTGACCCCCCTCAGTTTTTTATGAGCTCGGATCCAAGTCTCAAGCAGGCTTATGTTGGGTTCTCAGGAGCTGCGAGAAAATTATCTGACTTTTTGTTCAGAATGCCTGTCATGCTCCGCCGGGTACAGGTTCCTAGTTTATATCACCCGAAGCCCGAAGCGAAGTGAGGTGGCGGAGGTAGGTGGACGGCGGGCCTTTCGCGCGTGTCACCGAGAGGTGGCAGCAGGGTGTCTGATGGTATGTTGGCTTCTGGCCTCTGGAAATGTCTGCGGGCCCTGCTCCATGTAAGCTTTGCATAACTTTGCCATGACATTGCTTCTATTCCTTTTCCAGCTCCCGCGTGCTGGCGGGATTTCGAGGCGATATGTATCCATGCAGTCCCCAACAAGCTCCCAAAGCAGCCGCTTTGCCTGGGTCTAAGTTTGGCTTCCCGAAATAGTCCGAAGTTTGCTCGGTACTCTGCGGGCGAGCTTCTTGTTTTGCGTCTGTGTCCGATTCTACTTGGAGAGTATGCACGTCGCAAGGCAACAAAGCCGGTCGCCCTTTGCAAGCCAAAGGTGTCTCGAAGGCAGGGGCCCAGCTCCAGTCAGTCACAAGTCGCAAGAGCCTGGCCGGGCGCATGGCACCCAGGGCCGCGACGCACGAGCACCGAAGACCTTCAAATCCAAATGCCGACCCAGCAAAGATCTGTACGAAGGCGACCACTCTGAGCAAGAAATGAGTTGCTATTCCCTTGCAGATCTTGTAGGAGTTCGGAGAGTAGAACAATCTCTGCAAAGGCTCGTGCATGTCTGATTGTGGTCAGCAGTTGAGAGTAGCTACAATGTAAGTTCCCTCGCATCTGTCCAGTCATGCACTTCTTGTTTCCGACGCTTGGCGCTCATGTCATGGGTTCCCGCATTGGGTCCTAGCATTCCGGTCCTAAAGCCTTGTCGGCATGCGGCCTTGACACGAAACCATGACCGCAGCTTGAAAACCCATGGCAGCTTCATTGGCCAGCCTGGTCCAGCTACAAAGCCAACTGACCAAGGAGACCATGAGTTATGTGACAGTACCTTTGCAACCTGTCGCATTCTGACGCAGAGTCAGGAGAAGGCGGATGTGTTGGATCGGATCTCCAGCTTGGACGAAGACATCCGCTTCAAAAATCATGTCGAGCCTTACCTGCAGCAGTCCTTCATTCCATTCCATGAAAAAGCTTGAAGAAGAAGGTCATGGCGGCAAAATCATGGCAGCCTTTGCGCCGCTGCACAAGCCTGTCCAGGTTAGAGAGTTGGAAAAGACGTTGGAGGCGCTTCGCTCTGGAAGTGGTTCAGGGCCTCGAACTGCCGCAGAGGTCAGAGGAGCGGTCGCGGCTGAAGACTCAAGGCAATCTCTGTACATATGTAATGACAAATCAAAACAATGCTGGTCGTGATTATAATTGTTGCAATACTACAAGTATATATGTATATATGTACATATGTAGATATGTAGATATGTATATATGCTCATCTGTATGTATGTATGTATGTATGCATGCATGCATGTATGTATGTATGTATGTATGTATGTATGCATATATGTATATATGTAAAGATGTATATAAGTAAAGATGCACATATAAATATAAGTAAATAAATAAATATAAATATAAATATATATATATATGTATATGCGTATATATGTATACATGTATATACGTATGTATGTATATATGTACATATGTGTGTATGTACATATGTATGGTATGGTATGTATGTATGTATGTATATACATATACACGCATATACGTATGTACGTATATATGTATGTGTGTATAGGTGTATATATGTGTACATGTGTACATGTATATATGTATATATGTATATATGTATATATGTATATATGTATATATGTATATATGTATATATGTACATATGTTTATATGTATATATGTATATATTGAGATATGTTTATATCTAGATATGTATATATGTTTTTATATGTGTGTATGTTTATATTTATGTGTATATCTATAGATGTAAAGATGTATATATGTATATAGGCATGTTTGTATATATGTGTATTTGTGTGCATGGCATGTAAGTTTGCTTTTTCAGCTGCGTTTTTGCATCACCCACACACGGTACAAGTTTGTTTTGGACGAAGATGACATGCCATGCTTGGGATTGGGAGCCTTGGGTTTAGGGTTTAGGGTTCAGGGTTCAGGGTTTAGGGTTTAGGGTTCAGGGTTCAGGTTTAGGGTTTAGGGTTTGTGAATGTTGCAGGTTTGGTCTTGCTCCTCCTCTGTTGGTCTGGTCTCTCAACCCTAGACCCTACACCCTAAACCCTAAGCCCTAAACCGTGCAAGGCCTTCTTCGCGGTACCAAGTGAAGTCGGCATCCGGACCGACGAGAAGGGCAGCTGCGAGAGGCTCCTCAGCTTAAGGTTTAAGGTCTAAGGTTTAGGGTTTAGGGTTTTAGGGTTGTCCCCCTTATTCCTGAATGACCGTTGCTTAGGCCGGAGTGTTCAGCTGGAACGCGTGGGACATGCAGGCCTGCCGCTGCTCTTTCGCTTAAGGTTTTGGTAGGGTCTGTTCCGCAATGGCGATATCGGGTGATCTGGCGTACTGCCTGGTTCTGGCGGGGGGCCGGCCGAAGCCGATTAGTGGATGGGTTGTGGAAAGTGCCCAAGAAGAGGTGGTGATCGCTACCTCAGCGGGAACTCTCCAGGACATCCCAAACAAGCGTGAGACCGAAGCTGGCGATCTTCAGATTGGCTTTGTTCGGGTCCCCGTGGAATCCATCAGCTTGAGTGCACCCAGTGATTGGAAAGGTATCCGCCCGGTAGACCTTCCTCCTTTCAGTGCATGCGAGCGGGCTTGGAAGAAGGCCGGCAAGGACGAACTCGCCAGCAGCGAGGCCGAGGCACCAAAGGCTGCAACCCGGAAGAAGGGTCCAAAGTCTCTCGTGGAGGACCTCCAGGATCTCAGAGCTCTCTATCGGGGAGCCGGGGACAGCGACGAGGACGAGAGCGAGGACGATGGAGGCGAACTTCCCTTCAAGAAGAGTGGGTTCTTGCCCCCGGGGGGCAAACCGGCCAAGGGCTCCAAGGAGACTGGGGAGCGCGGCGCGCGGAAGGCCAAGGAGGGCGAGATCGACCTGAACAAGATGATCAAGAAGGGCATCGAGGCCGGGCAGAGTCCTTCGGAGATGATGCCCATGATGATGATGATGATGCTTATGAACCAGCAGAAGCCGAAAGGATCCCGACGAGGCAAGGCCAGCGGCTCTATCCTTGGTGGTTCCGACTCCGAAACTTCGGGGTCCGACGACGACTTCCGAGGAAAAGGCATGAAGGCGGTGGCCCAGCTGCACAAGCTTCAAGAGCAGATCAAGCGGCGACCCAGAAGGATCTGCGAGCAGTTCGAGAAGGAGGTCGTGGAGGAGCTTGGAGTTGTGAAGGGAGCCCAGTGGACTCTCCGCGACTATGTTCGCAAACAGCAGTGGGGCAAGTTCAAAGGCATCTACAGATGTGCGATGATGGACGTAGCTGTGTACGAGAGCCTCAGGGCGGGAGACTCGGAGGTCGCGGCGGCGCAGGTTGTGCAGAACCTCAAGGCCAAACTGCAAAGCGTGTTGCAGGGCGGCGACTGGTCAGCGGCGTGGTTGCTGACAGGACTTCCAGATCCTCTAGCTCGCCGCGAGTTTGGCGGATCGAAGGAAGAGATGTCGATCATCTCGGGCTATGTCGAGGCGCTCCACAAGCTCCAGAAGCGAGTCCGCGAGAGCCAGAGCCGAGGTCATGCAGACGAGGAGGGAGACGAGCAGCCCAGCTCGAGCTCCAAGAAGTGATCGGGCCCTATGTCATGCACGTCCCCACGAGCACAGCTGTAAAACATCCTGGACTGGTGGGGGTGAATTCAGATACGAACTTTATCAAGTACTTAGCTTGGTTTGAGAGCTGCCAAGGTTCCCGGCTGGAGCTGTCCAGCGAATCTTTAGCATTATTCCCGAGCATGCTGCCCTATCCCGAAGCTCTGCTCCCTGCGGGCACGGAGGTTGGGACCGAAGAGGTGATCACGTGGTGGATCAAGGCATTCCTCAATGCGTTCATCGCCTGGGGAAACTTTGTGACGCTGGGTTGCCCTACTTCTGGTAGCAGTGCGTACGAGCCGCGAGTGGGCCATCGAAGCATGGAAAGCATCCGGGTTTTCACCGATGAGCTGCTTGGCGAGATGCGTGAATTTGTTTGTTTAGATCTTGTGCTGGGGAGGCTCGGTTGCGAGGGCAGGCGGGCCACTGTGGAGCAGTTGCTGGCGCAAGTGTCTTGTACAGTGGGTGCATGTTACATGTCCGAGCCGGTGGGGGGATCACTTCCTTCAACGGCTTTGCCGGTGACGGCGTCGAGGGTGGCTATCCCCGAAGTGGCGGGGACAGTGGATCCGCTCCAGTGGTTGGAGCCCGAGCGAGCCGACATAGTGGCAAACCTCGATCGGTTGAGATTGCCTGAGCCCTTGTGGGAGGACATTGTCGTTGCGTGCCATCGTGTTCCCGAGGAGGACGAACCGGCACTCGCGAGGAAACTCTTAGAGACGGGCATGGCAGTCTTGATACCTGAGCAGGACCTTCCTCGTGATAGCGGTGGCCGTTTGTTGGCTGGGGGCTTGTTTTGTGTAGGCAAAAACGCCCAGGAAGATAGGCTTATCTATGACCGTCGGCCCGAAAATGGAACGATGCCACGGTTGAGGTGGGCCGAGCTCCCGTCGGGGGCATGCTTTACTCGAATGCTCCTCAGGCCGGATCAGTACCTTCGCGGTTCAGGGGATGATCTTCGGAACTACTACTACTCTCTCAAGTTGCCCGAGAACTGGATTAGATTCAATTCCGTTGGTCGGCGAGTTTGTGCAGAGGTCCTTCGTGAACATGGTCGTGATCCTCAGGTGCCGCATCGTTTATGCTTCCGCGTCTTGGGCATGGGGGACCGAAACGGGTGTTGCATCGCCCAGGCCACTCACGAGGCTGTGCTGAAGAAGCATGGTGTGTTGCAGGAGGCAGATAAGCTAGTGTATGGTCGTCATGTGCCAGTTGGTGATCGTTGGGAAGGAGTATACCTAGATGATTTGCTGATCACCCAGAAAGTGACCATGCCTTATGACATCCCCTTGGACGGCACGTTTGTACCTCCCGCTGCTCAGGCTGATGACGATGACATGGTGCAGGTCGCGCGGGCTGAGCAGGCCTATGTGAAGGCCAAGCTACAGCGGGCAGTTCACAAGGCATTCCGTGCAGAGACATCATTTCGGGCTTGGGGCGCGGAGGTCGATGGGATCAAGGGCTGCGTGGGAGCCCCGAAAGAGATGCGCAAACAGCTGTGGGTGCTGATTGAAATGATCGTGGCAGGTGGCTATGTTTGTCAAGATGTACT